AAGAGAAAGAAGATTAGAAGAAGAGATTGTATAAGAAGATTCTTATAGATAAGAGAATCAGAGTAAAAGAAATATCAGAGATTGCATTCTGAAGAAGTGTGGAGTGAAAGAATTATTAGAGCATTAAGATATATGTGATTATGAGATGGAATCATGAGAAGGTGTGGAAGAACTTCATAAGTGTGTGTGAGCATATGAGTGTGTGTGAGCATGTGAGCACATGGTAGAGGGTTGGTTGTGTAAGTTAACTACCAACAGATGCTAACCCGTCACACTTGGCATGATTTTAGTGAGATCAGAATCAGACTAAAAGTACAGAGGTTTATACCAAAAGTCCTTGCCCACACTAAAAACACCACAAAAGTATAACATTGAGATAGCAAGTTCTTGATGTCAAGTTCTTCATCATAATCTATATACAATTATCTGCAATCTTCTTTATATTCATTTTCATCTTCTAGCTCTATAATCTTTTGAATATGAGTAGAAATCTGCTCTATTCATGCTTGTATATTCTTCTGTATATAGTAATTTCAGCTTATTATTCTTTCATGATGTATACCACCTTCTATTCGGGCTGCGAAGTCCGACTCTGCCACCTCCTCGCGGTGCAGCCTGATAACATCATCTAGTGGTGATGGCCAAGAGCAGAGTGGTTTGTTATGAATGCCTGGTTCTCAGTGAACCCAGTATTCATTGGCCTTCAGGCCTTGATCTTTGCTCCCTGTGAGGAATCACCCTTCTCCGCCCTGCCTCTGCCCTGCCTCCGCCTGCCACTGCTCCCTGCAAGCAACCGCCCTGCTGCTCCCCTGCGAGCAATCACCCTCCTCCGCCCTGCCACTGCTCCCTGCGAGTAATCACCCTGCTGCTCCCTGCAAGCAATCGCCCTGCTGCTCCCACCGAGCAATCACCCTGCTGCTCCCTGCAAGCAATCGCCCTGCTGCTCCCACCGAGCAATCACCCTGCTGCTCCCTGCAAGCAATCACCCTATCTCTGCTCCTGGTGAGCAGTTGTTTATTTCTTTACCATAGATGGCCATACGTCAGGCCAGAAATGGATGAGCAGTCTATATGGACTGAGTCTTCTCAAGAGTTGCTATCTGGATCCTGTGTCTATTTCTACTTTGTATATAGAGATCTCTCCAGCTTAGCATGTCTCCATGCCCTTTGGGAGGCCTCTAAGGTGCAGGCACTGCCTGCTCTCCTCTGAGACATTAAACTAATACATACATACATACATCTAGTAAGCCAGCATGGCCAGATAGATGAGCAGCTAGATGATGATGTTTATTCTTATAAAGATTGATTGTATATTGAGTAGCCATGTTAGTTGGAAGGTAGAGAGGTAGATAGATAGCTAGTATTCTTGATTCTATCAGCAATCGATTATATATCATGTAGATAGGTAGGCAGATAATTCAGAGGCAAGAATAGAGGCTATTAGTATCTCAGTCAATTGTGAATCAGTATTTGAAAAGTTAAGTCTAGAGATTTAAAAGTCGGAATTTTGAGCATTTTAATCAATCAGAGGTTCAGAAATCTGCTATACACCAATGAAATCATCAAGATTTAAGCCGCCATTTTGAACACATTGTCATTCAATCAATTCAGCTATAAACTAAAGCAACTTTCGGGCCAGAGCTTCGTATGATTCTTAGAGACTTTGCTTCGCTCCGTCTGATTAACAAACGATTTTTGTTCATAAATATCACATGGGAGCTAAGATAGAATAATGGTAAAGTTAAAAAAATAATAGATTTATATGATGCTAGCCGTTGAAGACTTTGAAGAAGAATATTTTAGAAATTATCCAGAATCACCACATCTTCCGACATTAGAAGCTGGGTCATAATGAAAACACATTCCACAACCAACAATAAGACAATCCGATGAGCGATGGCATTTATATTGAGAACAATCAACTTTGCCAGTGGATGGTGCATTCCCCCTTGTAGTATGATACTTTATAGAGCTGCTTTTAAACGGTTTTCGCTGATCTATTTTTTTTAAGTTTGAAAGTTTAAATGGACTTGGAAGTAAGTTCTTGAATAAGTATAGCATCTGTTCCGGGCTCATCTGAAAACCATCTGTATCTCTCCATGCCTGCTTAAGACGGTGTATTTTTTCCGACGACAGATTATTATAATAAGTGTTGATAAAGTTCACAAGCTGATGATAAGTGAGGTGAGAATAACTTGTATCCTTTTCATCTTTTATAAACGCACGCAAAATGCTATCATTATCAATATCATGGAATATTGATACATCAGAATTAGAAGGCATGCTCAGCTGCTCAGCTGTAGTTATAAGATCATTCTGCTCAATTAAATTAAAAATTAGTTTCAATATTCTATCCTGATTCAGTCATTTGTTTATTCACTACTATATCTTTTTCTTGATATTTTAAACATGCATATCTTTCAGTATCTAAGATATACAATTACTATATATATGTAAATTTAAAAGTGGGAAAAGAGGATGGAGAAAAACTATATGATTTCACAACTCACCGACGCTCCAGCTGCAAAGGCATAATAAGCAGCATATAAACAAAAATTGAGAAGGTATAAATGTAGAGAAATAGACATAAAATGCATGGTTATTTTTGACATATACACTCTAATCTTGGATTATTTTATGTGAATTTATTTTGTTGTAAACTTTAAGGAAGTTTTGTAACTTTATAATAGAAACAATATTTCAACTACCTTACATTAAATGCCAAATATGAGCAGATTTTTCGCCATTTAATCAAAAAACATCATGCATTTGGGATTGGCTTACTTATCATGTGTTAATCAAAGGCTTTTAGTATTATCTTGATAAATTCGGATAATGTAAACAGAGAGATTAATGTTTCCTCCTGGCCGAAGAAAGTTATAACTGAGGTTTTCAACTGGCATTGACAGAAAAGGGATTTTGCAACATATCTTTTAAGATATAATTCCCTCTTTCAGTAAGATGCAGTAACAAAGCCAATAATTATTACTAAAGAGATTGTGAAATGGTAAGTCATATAAACATTTTGATATGTACGGCCTTCTATTCTGGGTTTAATTGCTACAAGTGGCCTCGTCAAATGGTAATCTAATAAGCGAGTCGGTCACATAAGCGAGTTAGCTAACCTTGTACTGCCCATCAACTTTGTATGTAGAGATACTTTTGAAACAAACATAACAAATAGATATAGATATCTCTCCATACAAATTTGATGAGGCAGTGTAAGGTGGCTGACTCGCTTATATGACCGACTCGCTTATAAGGTTGTGAACCCGACCAGCAAAAAAGCCCGTTGTTCCGGGCATGCTGCCCCTGGAACCCAACCCGACCCGCGAAAAAAACACACTCGCGCTTAGAGGGGCCGTGCCCAAGCTTAACTAAATCTAGTTAAGTAATTTAGGCATGTTACCCACTATGGGCGCGCCTAAGGACCCCTAAAAACCCGGGTCTGGTTTCACAGGTTTAGTTAAGTGAACCTGGAACCTGTTAAATCAGGCAACCCCAACCACTTTTTTTCAACCCGACCCGCGAAAAAAACAACACTTACTTGCTTATATGACCGACTCGCTTAACTTAACTATTCACTGACTCACTTATGAAAACCAACTTGTTTATCTCTCTCTTTATTATAGAAAAACAAACTTTTCTGTGCAAAATGATCTGTAATATAACCTCATATAATATCATATACACTTTATTAAATTATAAATGAGATTGAACAGCCAGTTCCATGATTTGTACAACTCTATAATACCATCACTAAATATCATTGCTAGATATCATTGCTAGATATCATCGCTATATATCTGTGATAAGATAGCACTATGACCACTAGGTTATCCATAGCAAAAGGCCAACGTAACCATTTGTTAAATGGTTGCGCTCATAGTGATATATATACCTGTGGGTGTGCCTATACACTGCGACCACCAGCCGCAGCATAGTGGGGAACCACATCCTCCCCCACTTGGTGGAGATGCGACCACGCATCTTACTAACCACTCAAGTGCCAAGGAGATGAAGCACTCAACCTCACCACACTATGATTGGGCCAATCATAATGTCTAGGTACATACAGAGGCCCCCAAGGGCACACCTTGCATGGAGTAAGCCATTCTTCTAGAAAAATCACAATGGCATTTCCCGGATTTGAACCCTGCCTGAGTTCTCTTGGCTAGTCCATGTTAACAAATGGTTAGATGTGATAAGATAACTGAATAGTATTATAGATAATATAGTCTCTTTTTGTTATTTTTTTATTTATATTATTTCAGAATATAAACTTTTTGTTTCTACTTCTCTCTATTTACAAATTTTCTATTATAAAAAATATAGATAGTTTTTTAATAAACTGAGAAAATATTCTCTTATCTTCTATAAAATCTTTCAGATACAGCAGTAGTGATTTTTTTAAGAAATTCTATTATAGTTTTATTATAAATAGTTATATATCAGATTAGAAGTAAATATACAATTTAATAAATTTAATAAACTGAGTCTTCTCAAGAGTTGCTATGTGAATTCTATTTCTCTTTCTTTATATTAAAGAAATTTCTATATATATAAATTATATATATAGAAATTTCTTTAATATAGTATATCTTCATACTCTTCAGAAAGCTTTGAAGCACAGATGCTGTCTGTGCTTCTCTGAGATGCTAAATCTATATATATATACATAATACTTTTGATAAAGTCCTCTGCAGATAGATGACAATAATCTTGGGACCAATCGGGGTTCAACCCGCTTACACCTGACGTCTTCAAGTCACGTGTTGGTTTGTGTCAACTCCCGAGGTCCCCTTGACTGATAATTAGCATGATCTTATTTGTTCTTTAACTGTCTGGCCTCCCACCACAACACCTGCACTTTCATTCTTGACTTATTCAACAAAGCTGCGTCTGGCAACTTAATGTCCGCGGTATCAAGAACCATCTGATGTTCTGGATGGTAAGCATGATCAGAGATATTCCATGAAATATGTGCCGCCCACCATCCACATGTCTTGGTTTCTCTATTCGCAGGATAAGGTCAGGCTCAAAACGACACTTCCCTCCATCTTTAAAGCCTCAAACTTGTCATATGATTACAATCCAGCTAGCATGGACTCTTCCCAGATTGGTAAGCAAATGCATTCAAGCACCATTGACATATTACTAATCTGTATAAGATTGGAATTCTAACTGCGAATTCTTTAAATTCACACATGGCTGCTTTATTGTGGATGAGGCAGAGAATCTCTGAAAATGAGAGATCAGATTTGATCTTAATAAGCTCACAAGAGTTGCTGCAAACTCAGTCAGAGCTGCTTGTTGTGTTGCTGTCAAGAAGCATCCTGATGGCATGTTCAACAAAGCCTTCCTTATGTCTATGAATGATGGGCGAGAAGTAATAGTGAAGGTTCCAAACCTCAATGCTGTTGTTCCGCACTATACCACTGCCAGCGAAGTGGCCACGATGGACTTTGTAAGTTTATCCTGAATGTCAACACCAAGTCTTGCTAACATGCCTGAACCATGAGGCTAGAAAAACTCTTGACACACCTGTCCCTCGCGTATATGCATGGAATTCGCAAGCAAAAACACATCCCATGAGTGCTGAATTTATCATCATGGACAAAGTCAAAGGTGTTCTACTGTTCCAAGTATGGGGCACCATGAAATTACCCCAGAAGCTCAAGGTCCTCCTTGCCATCACATACCTCCAGAAGCAATGGCTGAGAGTTTCTTTCTTCTATTATGGGAGCTTGTATTATGCAGGAGATATGCAGCCTTCAGCAGATAGTCACTATATTAAGAACAGTGAGGTCATCAGTGATTCAGATTTCATGATTGGTTCAGCTACAGGCCGGGACTGGTGTGATGCAGGCTGATTGATTCTAGATGTCAATAAGGGGTCATGTATGTTGTTAACCTTGTCGTTCCTGTGCAGGTTCTAATAAGATTTTAGAGGTATCTTTGACACAGCATCTGCAGGCAGTCAGCATGTGAGAGATGATGGCTGTTCAGTATTTAAAGCCCCCCAAACAGATTGCCTTGTTCTGTGGCTCAAAGCTCTACCAACTGAATATGGGAAAGAAAAGTGCTGCTTTAGATTGCTACTGACAAGTTGTCAATGTCCTTATTCTCAAGAATACAGCCATCACCCGACCCTGCCTCTGGCATGATGATTTGCATGATGACAATGTCTTTGTAGACCTATATAATTCTGCAAGAATTATGTGTATTATTGACTGGCAGTCATGTCATATCTCACCCCTCTTCAACCACAATATCAACCCTGCTTTTCTTGACTGGGACAGTCTTGAACTGGAGACACTTGATCTTGCATCATGACTTAATATCTCCGGGCTCTCACTGAAGGAATGCTGTGTGGCTGTATATGAGTATACCATCCAAAATGTGTTCATTGGATGGTGGAAACTCATGCAAGTCAAAAACCCAGAGTTATATTGAATGGTCAATTTTCGAAAGACAGCAGTGTATGAGCTCATATTCCTTGCTCACTGAATGTTTAAATACAGTGAGGCACACTTTCAATCTCTTCTGACTGATCTGAAGAGGACATGAGCAGAGTTATCTGCTATTATGAGTGATATCCCATTTCTATTTAACTTTTTAGAAGCAGACTATGAGTGTATCAAAGTGGATTGTGATGGCACAGTGGCAGGAACTGAGTTTGTTGCAGAGGCTAAGAAGAAACTGAGTAATTTATGATTTGACAAGGGCTTTATCAAGTATAAATGGTACTGTGATTGCAAAATTGCTCTTGACAGAGTAAAGGATTTGATATTGAAGCAACTAGCTAAAACTGATGACAAAAGAGCTGAGTATGAGCATTATTAATCTTTTGATTAATCAATATTGTTCTATCAGCTTCTTATACATCACATAATCCAGCTTTCATCCTTACAACTACTCACAAACATAGAGATACATTTGAATTTTTCCACTTTTCCAACTGTTTTTGTATAATTTCAACCCTCTAATCCATTCAATATCATCACACACTCTCTACAATTACTCTATATATGTGTATTACACAGATTGAATGATTATGAAGCTCTCAACATTCTTCTATTCACTCAAAAACATTGATACAGTCTACATCAGATTACTGAAGCTGAAGTTATCAGTCAATTTTATTACTAAGAAGACTGATAAAAAACAGAGAAAGACTATTACAATATCTTTTTTAGTTCTCAAAGAAGTCAGTGATAGTATTTTCACAGCTATCTCTCAGCTGTAGAAATAGTTTGAAAAGACTCAGCAGCAATAAAATCTACAGTAGAAGACTTTTATCAGATTAATAAAAATTCTGAATAGTTGAATTGAGAAGAAGAAATAATCAGTCAGTCAGAACTTTATCTGAGTTTTCTGCAAAAGATTTATTAAATATATAACAGCAGATTTAAACACAGTATCTATTCTGAGAAAAAATACTCTCTCAGATACTCATCTACAGTTAAATATAATAAAAACAACTGAGAGAAAACTGACTATCTGAATAAGTATTACTCAGAAAAGAAAAAACTCTGTCTCTCTGAAGTTTATCTCTATCAAAGCTATAGCTTTCTCATCAGACAGAACTAGTAATACTAATCTATAGCTTAAAAATATCAGTTAATTAAAAGATCTCACAGAGAATGCAAAACAGCAGAAGAATTCACAAATTTTTATTACTCTTTAATCAGAGAAATGAGTTGTCTGACTGCAGTTATATACTGTATAACAGATAATTATTATAAATATTCAGAGAATAAGAAATATAGCTAATATATTAAAAATGAAGTTTATTAGAACAGACTGAGTGATTATATCAAGCAACAGAGATATATATAACATTCTGATCACTGAGAAGACAGTGATTATATTCTATAAGATTTTTAATATTATAAAAATTCAGCTATCAGAGTAATGATATAATTATACTATTTCAGAGATCTCAGAATTTATTCAGAACTGAAAAAATATGAGAATTTTTATAGATAAAATAATTAAAAGAGAGATTCTAACTCAGATAAAGATAAAGTCAGTAAGTTATTGACTCTTATAATATAAAGTGAATTTCAAAACAGAGAAGATTATATAAATTATCTTTTTTTTTATCTTAATAAAAAGCTTCTCACTCTTCAATGTTAATGAGAGAGTCAGACTGATTGAGAAGAGATTCTTAGTAGTAAGATATAACTCAGAATATTAGAGATATTATTATTTATCAAAATATATATAACTGATCAGATGTTTCAACTGCAGTGAGCTTATAGATTAATATAAAAAATCAATAAATATAAAATACAAAAAAGCACTGTGATGTATTAACTGCTATCAACTCTATTCAGTTGAATATTAATACTACTCTGCTGCACTCAGACAAATGAACAGTATTCTCAGATATCTAATATAAAAGAAGTTAGCAGCTGTCTGTGATTTTAGCAACAGATACTACAGAGATACTTAAGAGCAGCAACAGCTGTCAATATAATTAGTGCTGATAGTAACAATAATGATATCTGTATTATCTACTCAGCTGATTCAGACTGCAGAGCTGATACTCTGTAAATAAGCAGCTATTCAGAGCTCTATCAGTGAGAATAATATTATCTGATAGATAGTTTACATCAGATAATACTCAGCTTGCACAGCAGTGTAATAGAGTAATCAAATAATTAAAAAACAGTTTAATCTCAGTGGATAAACTGCAGATCTGAAATTTTTCAACTTTGTTTTATAAATAAACTTTGACAGCAGCTTGTTAAATAACTTCTTATACTAGAATATTAATATCAGTAATATAACTGATACTACAGAAACAATCAGCAGAAAAATTACTCTCTATAAATTTTCTGAATAAATACTATCAGAGTAGTTTTCTGTTATACAGTAGCTCTACAATTTATTTTTGAGCAGAGCTGTGAAATAATCTATATACAGAAGTTATATACACACTCTGATATCAAAACTTTTAATTACTCAGTATATAAATATTTTATATCTATAAACTGCTGAGATAACACTAACTCAGAGCAGTAAGAGAAGAAAAGACTCTGAATTATAATATATATATATAAAAGTTTAAAGATAAGAGTACAGCAGTACTGATCTATACAAAGCAGAAATCTACTATAAATCAGTGTTAATAACTGCTATATTTTCAATGTATACAGACAGTCTGAAACAGATACAGTTATAAATTATCTGATTAATTTGAGCTCACTGATCTGCTGTCTGATAGATAGACTAACTGTATAATTATATATGAAACTAGAATCAAATTTTTCCTCAGTTTCATTCTCAAATATCTTAGTTCTGATCTCATATAGTGTTTATTAAATTAGTTACTTTACACTGTTTATATTATAAATCTAGTCTCAGATCATGTTTTTCTTATAAATTAACAATTTCAGTTCCATTTGATCTCATTTTACAAAATGAAATCAAATGAAACCATGATTTACTCTATATAGATTGACAGTGGTAGATAGATTGATAGCAGTGATAGATTGACAGCAATAGAGGATTTAATATCAAGCCATTGAGTATTGAGTATTGACAGTTAGTAAGATAGAGATAATATCTCCATCAATCATATCATCAGATTGATATCTAGATATATATTATATAATCATCAGAACAGAATCAAATCTCAGTCAAAATTATAATCAGTCTCAGATCATATTCTTATTTTTGATAGTCAGTTACTTTATATGAAATATCAAGATTTATTAGTCTTATTTCACTCATGTTTTAATAATTCTAGTCAATTTACACTCTCATTCTGATTCTGATTCCACTGAAAATCATGCTAAGAAATGAACTAGAATCAAATCAAATTAAATCAAATATATAATTCATAATTCCAGCAGCCACTCTACTGATAGATGAGAATATCAATATTTAATATAATATCTTTGAATCAGAGACAGTGAATCTGCACTGAGAAGAGGAGCTTATTCAATAAATCAGTAAGTATGAAATGAATTATATAAAAAAGATAGATGTTTCAATTCATACAGCAGATTATATAATTGATCTTATCTTCTTCAATATAATTTTTACTTTTATTACAGTGTATTAAAATTTATACTATAGTTTGAATCATCAATCTATAATTATTATATTATCAACAACATCTCAAACACAGCTGAATAGTGCTTAAATCAAGATCACAGACTCTCAGCTGAAGTTCTTTACAGATTTTATTAGAGATTTTATAATGAATATATTTTACTTAGAAAGAGTTGAGAATATAACACAGCTGAATAATTTGATTCAGTACTTTATTCAGAGTTTTCTGACTGCAGCTCAGATAGTCAGTAAATCAGTTTAGTAAAAATAAATCATAGCTTTCTGATAAATAGCAGAATATTGAAGAGTATACTGAAAGCTCACTACTCATCAGACAGAGACTATAAAATATCAGTTTAAAAACACAGTGTATAAGATTAAGTGTATATACTGAAGACAGATAATTAATAAAATCAGAGATGATAGAAATCTATACTAAGTTGTAATTTAATATAGACTGAAGTTTAATCTCAGAGTATTCTCTTTGATGATTGAGAATCAGATTATAGAAGAAACTATTGTCAAAGCTGAGATATTATAATAAATAATTCTGAAATAATATAACTCAGTTGATAATCTGAAGTACAATCTGCTGAATAATAAACACTGAAATAATATAAAAAATCTACTCTGAAATCTCTGAATTGAAATGAAGAAAATAAAATATAATATTATTCAGATACAGAGTATCTTTTCAGATACAGATGAAATTACAGTATAGCTGCTCAAGATATACTAACAGTATATATTTTTCTTTATACAACAACTATACAACTGCTGTCTCAGACTCTGTTATTTTTTATAA